AGGAGTGTATCTTCATGTCACCTAGTAGAAGGGGTTTACCTTTAGCATCGTTTTGCTGCAGATCATAAGCATGGTAAGGGAAAAAAAGACTGTGGAAGTATTTAATGGGATTCAGGCAAGTGCACAAAGTCCCCTCTGCTTCCTTCAGATTTCCATTATCTAATTTACTAAGAAAACAATGCTTTCTATCCAGAACTAGCCAGTCTGACCACAATAATAATAATAGACAATGAGGTTTAAAGAATCTAGCTGTGAATGCCTGGCCCCTTACCCATCAAATAACCTCACCTCTGCACATGATTGCCTAGGAATCATAGAATCGTTATGGTTGGAAGAGACCTCAAAGACCAAGTCCAACCTTCTACTCAACGCCACCATGCCCACTAAACCATGTCTCAAAGTACCACAGGAAAACAAATACTGATCTTCTACGAAAGCATCATAAAAAGTTGAGATAAACAATTTTTTGGAAATGTATCCATATGCTGTACCACCCACTGGAAGTGTAAATGCCCAAATTAAAGAGGCAAAGTATGTTACCTTCTCCAGTTGAGCCCATTCATCCAAAATGTGTGGCGCTCACAGAAGCCTTAAAAAGCAGAGGACCGTGATGCTTGCAGCTTTCCTCTCTCACAGGGAACCTGACTTGAGAGCACAGAGCTGTGCAGAGCATGGGCTCCTTAGCAGACAGGCCCTGCTGCAGCCAGATTTGACCACAACCTTATTTTGTTCCCTTTTCTTCTGGTAGAATCACATTAAACAAACTTCTTGCTGTAATGAGGGATTTAATTTTCTATGCTTGCTAGAAGTCTGTGAGATTGTGCTTGAAGAGAATTTTATTTTGGATTTTAGGACTATAAAGGAATCCATTAGGAAACAAGCAGTTGCTGGACTCTGTTGTTCTGCCACAGCTGATGGAAGCTCAGACACTGATGGTGAGTTCTGGTCTGCATCTTAAATCTGTCACTTGAATGTGATGGCCAAACTTGGCAAATTACCCATTCTCTAATTTATCTTTTCAGTAATGAACATTTCTCACACAGATATGCTTACACCCATTTAATTTATAAATTGTGTTCTTTTTTTTATTCTTACAGGGGGACTATTAAGACTCAGATCAAGTATTAGCATAATAATTGGTTTTACATCAACAATCTGAAAAGCCTTATGAATATCTAAAACCAAACTCACCTAATGGCTGCTCTGTTTTTCGTTACAGCTTTATTCCAACTTTTTGGCTTGTGGGAAAGGAGATGAAGTTGTAGATCACTTATAAAATGCTCCTGCTCAATGGACTGGCTAAAATAACACTTGAAAAGTCACAAAAATCACCATCCAGCAAATCTGCAAGACCAAGTTCCAAACACATTCTCGAAATGTATTAAGGATTTTTAGACATAAAATTAAATATTAACTTTCTTACTAATACAAGCAGAGCAATTTTATGTGCCAAAATAGATACACATAATATATATACACACACAGAGTATATATGTATACATGCAACATTAGGCACATACTATGCATTTCTACAACTTATTAGTTTCTTATGATGTATGATAGCATCATATATGAAAGTATTATTTCTCACATACTGAATATAATCTCAATTCTCATTTCATTTACCTCGGAGGGGTTCTTAAAGCAAAAGATGGGGTCTTTTGTTCATACCTACTACAAAACAGTTTTTACTATTTCAAACTAGTCTTCAGTATAAATTCACGTTGTTTGTGCAAGTTATTAGTCTTATACTATGCATAATAACATGCCTCACAGTTTAAAAACATGCCAAATACTCCCAACCTTGCATTGGGAATTCCACTCCTGGCTAGTAGTTGGAAGACAAGAGACATACCTTCAAAAGAAGGGGACACTGACAAATGGTTCTCATTGTACCACCAAAAATGTGGATTTTGAATCTTGCTGCATAAAATTGCTAGTCCATCTGTAGCAATGCATTTTCAGGACTTGTGCTGCCACTATCCCAAACCTAGAAAAAAACTGTATGTCCACTAAGGGGAAAATATTGAAGAAGAAACATGTTCCCTGACCCCAGCTGAAACTGAACATTTTTCTCTACTTTATAAAACTTCGAAAGAAAGAAACAAGTCTTCTAAAAGAACTATAATCAGTTATTTTCCTTGTTTGCTGTCCTCAGAAGAGCTGTATTGCCCGTTCTAAACACATATAAAACACCAAAAGAAAAGGCCAATTATCTTCCGAAGCATGAGGCTGAAGACCAGAGAGTCTCAAGAACGCAACTTCCTCGTTATGATCCATTTCTGTTTCCTTGTCAGCCTGATACAATGGAGAACAGCATTGTCTTTGCAGACATTAGGCAAAACGTGCAGAGGCACTGGCAGCATTAACATCTGGGTGAAGTTGTTTTGCAGCCTCCTCATAATATTGCACTTCTGTAATCCCTACAGAGACCATACGTACCAAAGTCATTCCCTTCATAGGGAATGTATGAGAAGCAAAACTCTCAGGAAATACTGCATCAAAATATATTTGATACAGAATACCTCTTCTGATGCAGGTATTACCTTTTCTGTTGTCTCTGAGAATAACATAAAACTGAAGCTGGGCTGTAAGAGGGATGGAGAGGAGATCTCAAAGGGAAAGGCTAGTCTATTGAAAATTATATTTTTCAGCTAGAATGATACAACCCAGTCAAGTTTCAAACTTTGTGATTCCAAAAGAAAGCCATGTGCTAGAGAGATGTATTTTGCCTTCAACTGCTTGTAGCTGCAAGCCTGTATCTCTGAAATCGTTCTGCATGGATCAGGGGACATATATTGGCAATTCTCTGATTCTGGGCAGAGGATGAGATATAAACAAACCATTGACCTTGAACAGGAGGCAGAAAAGTGTACTGAGTATCAATGATAAGAGGTTGCTGCAGCATGGAGCAGAGCACTTCACAGACTACAGCAACAGCACGTGGCAGGAATAACTTGGCAGTCTGCTTGACTTTGATCCCAGCCCATTCATGCAAAAAACTGGGTACTAGAGAACAACAGAAACCCAGTTTCTAAGGTCAGCTAAGCAAGGGATTACCATAGGTGACAGTTCTAGCACTGAAGCCTGGAGCAAATTATTCTAATAAGCCACACTAGAATTTAGAGAGTCAAGAGCCATGACCCCACTGAAATCAGTGGTAAAACTCTTGTCTTCAGTGTCGTTGTTCAGACCTTTTTTTTAAGGCTCTGAACTTGCCCAACTCTGATTTTAGTAGCTTGATTTTAGGCCCTTAAATTGGGGAGGGGGGGAAGGGCAGAAATCAGCCTCCTAATCCTCAGGCATTACTGGAGTTTAACTGCCCAAACAACTAACTGCAGAGACAAGGATAGTTTCCAGGAGCTCTGAATTCCAGTTTGTATACTTGTTTATCATTACACCTTTTGAGGACTTTTTGTTGTTTTCAAACACTAGTTTATTTGAAACGAAGCAGAAAGATCTAGAAGATGTAGAGTCCCTGGAAGGCCCAGGAATATGTGACTTTTAAAGGAAACTGAACTGGTTATAGAAAAGAGCTTGAGGCAGCGACAACTGACATGTCCAAACAAGTGCATTCAAGAAACTAATGATTCATTTTATAATCATGTAATCTAATGCTCCTAGAAACCTTAGGAGTGAAATAGTGAAACACGTTCTGAAATGTCTATGAAATACTAAGAAACATTAAAAAAATGAAACTACTGCCAAAAAAGAATGAAGTAAACGTATTTATTGACAGTTGCTTTCATTTCAGCAGTTGCTAGTACAGAAATTGTCTATACTAGCTAGGACAGAAGTACTAGTACAGAAATAAAAAATGTGTTTGCTCTCAAGCAATATAATATTTTACTTTCTCAAAATTAGAATTCTCCAAATCTCACTTTACAGCTGCAGTGGAGACTCCAGGCAGTGAGACGCAGCTGTAAAAGACATTCTTTCCTGCCTAAAGATGCTATTGTTCTCCAGCAATTTCTTCTTATTTAATGAACAGAAGAGGACTCCAAGGCTGGCAATGTTTTTGTCAAATAATGAAAATTCATGCCAGAAAATGAAATCATTTTTGAGTACATAAAATTAAAAAAACCTGAGGATGAACTGCTAAGAACTGATATAGTCTTAAAGTTTGGCCCACTATTGCATGTGCAACTGTAAGAAGTAAGGGTGTGTACACTACAGTACATGCTGTTTCATAAAGCTAAGAGCTAAATGTTAAACAGAGATGTGATCATCCAAAACAGATCAAGGGATTTTCTTCACTGGTTTCACATCTAAGTGGCTGCAGAAATAGACTGGTCCTGTAGCAAGTGTCTACTCTGGCAAAGAACCATGCTCTGGTTGGTTCACCTGCCCAACAGCAAACTTCATTTTAAATACCATCAGAAGTGGTACAGGAGTTTTGTCTATTGTGTGCAAAGATCAGAACAGAGGGTGAGCAACGAAGCTACTTCTGTATGAGAGAGTATTTGTGGATAAAGCATGGGAGAAGCTGGCATAGCTTGTCATCAACACATGCATTAAACAAGAAAGGTTTATGAAGGTCATATGGTGGTATCAATAAAGAGGAGTCTTTCTAACTTCAGTAAATGATAGGAGGGCTGCATTCAGTTTAAACATGCTGCATTTAAGGACAGAGCATTTGACCCACTCAAATCCATGCCTGCCTTTTCTGGCTTGGAACTAGACAATCGATGTCAGCAATATCTCTTCACTGATCTTGGATGCTCTCTAAAAGAGATGGGTGACCAGCCAAATTCTGGTGAACCTTTGGACATTCAGGACTAGAACGGAGTTGTATGGTTTTTTCCCTTTCCCAGTGGTGCTTCAGGAACTGAAACGGTGGCACTGACATTAGAAGCTTTGCAAGCAGGTGCAAACATCACATCTTGGTGTTATCTTAGTTTTTGATCCTCAGGCATAGGATCAGAAGGAAGTCAATTATATCAGAGAAATTTATATAGTGTTAGTGGAATAAAAGAAGTTCCATTAAGTTCCAAACAATGCTATATCCGTCCCCACTCTTTGTTTCTTAATTCGTTCCTCCTGATCTTCCCAGTGACTGTCTTTGGCAGCTCTTGGACAAATTCCACCTAAATAAAAAAAAAGACAGAAAACAATGTAGCATGTTCTAGAGAGCTGGTTTTCAATGACTGGCTCTCAGCACATGTGGAAAACTAAGAGGACTCCCATCAGTAAGAACTACTTGCCTTAAAGGATCAAGTCCAAGCCAAATCAAGACAGCACATTGTGCCACTTGCAAAACAATTTCTTTGGCTGCCTAGACAGCCAAACATCTGTATAGCTGCCTACCAGTTAACCAAACTGAGTACTGTAACATGAGTACTGTAACAGAAGGACAAATACCTAAATGGTATCAGAGGTCAGAGATGAATGACAAAAAGAAGAAAAAAGGGATGTTATTGGCACAAAGTCTTTAACGGTCCTTAGTTCCTACCAGTTCTGCATAAGTGAGCTAAGGCACTGCTAGTAGTTCTTTTCCTGTAGCGCTTGGATTACTGAGAAACACCGAGTGTATCCTCTTGGGCTTTCCTCTATTAAGTGTGAGCACCAGTAGATAACAACTTACTCAGATTCAGTCAGGTACTACCCTAAAGTCACCAGAGATTGCTTGGTTGAGGATTAAATACAAAATGGAGAATTATGATTGTAAGCCTGACTTAGAACATGCAGATCTAACTAGGACATCATACAAAGCCTCGAAATTTTTGAGACGTTTAAACAAACACTTTACTCAAATGCATGAAAAACAATGTAAACTAATGTTATTTAGGAAAGATTTTCTGGAGCCAGCGCTCTAGCTGAATCTTTACCACTGTCTCTTTCAGGTGAATCATGAAAATCCAAACAGTAATTCTTCTAAGATTTATGGAAGGGTGCCCTGGTTTAAAGTTTCTCGTCAAAAACATTTACCTTTCTAGGGTATTTATATGGAGCAGTAGTTTTCTTGACATGCTCCTGCAAGTCACAGGTTAAGGTCTCCAGGTCACTGGATGAAAAGGTTGGGGACAAGACTACGAATGCTTTCACGACCTGTAAGGCAAGGTTATCAAAAGCAATCTGACACCATCTGTTTTTAAGAGCTGATGTACAGGTTACCAGTGAGCAGTACTGCTCGGAGTCATGACATGCAAAACGGAGGAACAGAGAAACCAGTACCTTATGAGAAATGGTTGTGCCCAGCTTCTGCATGTGTATGTGCAGAGCTCTCCCTGAAGCTGAGGGACATTTTGTTTCTCTCTGAAGTTCACACTGAGGACAGTAGGCCCATATCATCCCAGCACAGGACTGTGCTTTCTCCATACATGTAGCCCAAGTCTAATGCTATGGCAGTTAATAGTATAACTTTGGCTACACCAAGACAGCTGGGAAGACAATTTCAGTGTATAGACAAGAGTTTAACAACAAGGGGAAAGTAAACACTACTGTAATGTTCTCCATAGAGAAGACCTCCTTGGGATGAACAGAAACTACGGAGAGCAAAGGCATGTAAATGGGAAGGGATTTTACTTGTCGTCCCAAGTAGGATAACCCATGATGACATGACTGCCTTAGAGCTGTACATTTTTCAGTAAAGTAGGAACTGCTTTATATAGTTATATTTTTAAACATATTGCTTCCCCCATCACTGTTCAGCATCCTTACCTCTCCTCTGAGGGGATCTGGGCTGCTGACAACAGCTGTTTCTGCTACTGCTGGGTGCTCTATCAGGGCACTCTCTACTTCAAATGGCCCAATGCGATATCTAGGTAAGGAAACAAAAATCATAGGATTTGGTTTTATGAGCTGGAAAACCAGTACCAAATGTTTTTTAATTGTCATATTGAAGAAAAAAACCAAACCAAACAAAACTAACAACCAACTATAGAAACTTTAGGCAGCATGGGAAAGCTGGCTGTGTTAGAACTTAGGAGCATTTCATGGTGGTCATGTGGTAAAGGAATGCTGGGGCTATGGATACATCTCCATCGCTCCCGCTTCCTTGTGGTTCCTAAGCTGGAGCTCCATACCACCGATAGCTGGGGTCCGCAGTACCAGCTCATGTCATGTTATGGTATCATATCATACAATATCAAATTGTGTCATTTCAACATGTTTAAAAATGAAATGTTTCAATGCTCTTTGAAGCTGTTAGAGATGTCCTTCAATTTTAGTGAAAAAACAAACTCGATTAAAATCCCTTCTCTGTCAATGGAAGTCTTCACTCTTTGTTGAAACGGATGAGATGTTGCCGGGGAAATGGATACAGAGATGCCACTGACATCACCAAGATGATACTGCAGGTCTATGAAAAGCGAGTAAAAAAGGCAAGTATTCCTAAGTCAAGAGGTCAATACATTCATCACAGGACTATTATGTCAAAAGCTCACCAGGAACACAACATGTAAAAGTAAGATTATACAATGGCAGATTTAGAAAGGAAGCGTGCAAACTGACCCTGAAGAAATGATGATATCATCGTCTCTTCCAATAAACCGAAAATATCCATCTTCATCCATAGTCCCTCTGTCTCCAGTGACATAAAAATCCCCACGTTCACTTTCTGCGGTTTTCTTAGGGTTATCCTCAAAGTGGTTTACAAACAGTAGTTTAGATTTTGAGCATGCATTAGCTATACATTATGCTATAACACACATAATGTTAAATGCACTGGAACTTAATTTTTCAAGTCAAGGATGTTCAAGAATTGTACTGACATTGCTATAAAAGACAATAAAATAGGTTTAAAAACCATTTTGATTCTTAAAAAGAGATTTAACTGAATCTTGAGCAAATTCTTCTCTTCCCTTTTCTAACACCCACCGATCCAAATAAATTACTCTGGTAATAAATAATAAACTGGTGAAAAATATTCAGCCTTTTGAACCACTATGCAATTGGAGAGATTTTGGGGAGATTAGTGGTGGTGAGGAATAAAATAAAGTCCTTACTACATATTCAGAGAATAAACCGAGTGGTCTTATAGGTTTGCTTCTGACAGCAATTTCCCCCTGTTGTCCTGGAGGCAGAATATTAGCATTTTTGTCTATGATCTAGAATGAAAACCAACATGTATTTTAGTCCAATGAGAAAAAACCAAAACCAATGAAACAAAAAAACCCTATGAAAGAATCTAAAGAGCAGCAAACAAACCTGAACATCATAAAGGGGAGCTGCCTTCCCCATTGATCCTGGTTTAATCTTCCTTCCTTTAAAAACAGAGCAGATTATTCCCTGGAAAAATAAACATCAAAACAAAGTTTGGCAATAGAAAACTGCTACATTCACATTCAATTCATTAAACGTATTTTCTAGAATAATTCCAAAGTAAGGAATTAAGATTCATAGGATTCTCTCTGTCAGCACTGTATGGTACAGATAAGCAAAATCAAGAGACTCCCTGAAAGAATCCTGTTCCATTATCTGCAAAGAATTCACGCCCTCTGCTCACCAGTCTTCTTCCTTAGATTCAAACTCTGCTCTCTTGCTTGTCACTTGGAATTTGCTTAAGGACATTTATGGAAATATTAGAGCATATCTCCTCCCAACAATCCATGTTTCTGCAGGTTCTGAGAGGAGAGCCATGAAAGGGTGTTCTATCAGAAGTTATCAGGGGAGGAGATTACTGAAACATTCTCAGAAACGTGAAGGAAGAAATAGGCTGTATTATTTCAAAACAAACCTTAAAACATCGTAAAGGAAAAAGGAATTACAAAGACTTAATAGAATATTGACTCTACCGTTTCAGTCTGGCCATATACTTCATGGATGTCCAGCCCAGTCTTGCTTTTCCACTGCTCCATGACTTCTGGGTTGAGTGGCTCCCCTCCACTCATGCAGTGCTTCAGTTTCATGAATTTGTAGCTTCACAATGAGTTAAAAAACAAAAGAGGCAATACTTAAAACTATTGGGCAAGACAAGGAGCATGCAACTATAAACAAACAATACTGGAGAGCTGTTTACTGGGAGAGTTAGTCCCATGAATTGGAGAAATCAGAGGATTCCTGATCCTTTGGCTCTGGATACAGCAAGGATATCAGTCTATGCTCAACACTATACATATGAGTAGTAGTAGTCGAAGTTAAACACACATGAAAAATAAAGTAAAATTTTTGTTGAAGACAGCTGGGAGTTAAGGACATGACTATAACTAACCACAGAGCAATTTGCTGAGCCAGGGCCCTAATTGCTGACCCCCTGCAACAGCCCAAGTGAGAAAGTGCAAGAGGAGAGGAAGGAACTGTGGCAGGCAGTGAGAACTGGAGCAGGGGATGATATACAACTGCCACAAGTCACTCCCTCACAGTTATGTTGACATTGACTTTCTAGGATGACAGTCCTTCCCAAAGCATGGACAATTAATGTGGTAATTGAAAATTATGATAAAGAATTTCATAGGTGCTCAGTTTCATACCCTCAGGGATTTGCTCACAAGTTCAGTAAAAGTCTCAGAATTCTGAGGGAAAACATCAAGTTTCTCTGATCATAAAACTCAGCAAAACTCAAATTTCGTATGACAGTCTTTTCACAAAGAATATTTTAAATAAATTACTACCCTATTTTGGGTCAAGTAGCTAGATCTGGGAGATCACTAAAGTTTAGTTAGGGTAAATTAAACATTAGTAAATAATTTCTTGACGTACTTGGAGAGATCATTTTGCACCAGCATGCGGAACAATGTTGGAGCACCAACCAGTGTGTCAATGGGGAATCTGCAGAGAGTCTAATGGGTTAAACAACAAGATGGACATATGAAGCTCAGAGAAAAAATTACCTTGTGGATGTACAGTAAATAGGTGATATAGGGGGCAAATGTAGTTCTCCTTTCTATGTAAAAGCACAATACGCTCTCAGTTGAGTAGAAACCCTCCTACACTTGGTGTAATACACAGAGATTCACAGAATATTTGAACAGACAAAATCCCATGCTAACATGTGTACATGACACCCAGATTGCACAGCTTAGAGTATGGACAGAATAAGTCCATTACTGTCTACATTATAGGGAGGTTTTCACTTTCACCTTGACCAGCGTAGGCAGAGAAACGCTTCAGTTTCAGTCTGCATTTATACCAGCTGATATTACTTCCACAGTCACTAGAACAAAAGGCAAGTAATTAGTGCTGCTTTTGGATGATTTTCATTCATGTGCTCACCAGCTATGGATAAAACATATGAATGAACCGCACGTTTGGCCCCTTCTGAGTACATTAAAAATGCAAATAGGAGCTTTATGCAATGGATACAGCATCTGAAACACAACTATGGACACAACCCTCATGAAATCAATGGATGATGTTAAGAAACATTTTTTTGTGCCCTTTCTGCAGATTAACATATCTCCATGAGTTTTTCTTTACATTTAGGATGGCTGCTGATTCGATCCGTGGTAGTTTATGTATAAAGATGCATGATCCAAAAACCCAGGGATCAAAAATAGATGCCAGTGAAGCTAATATCCATCCTGTGTCTGCTGTGCTCCATATGATGTCTGAGGGAGTCAAATCCAACCAGTACCTGATAGAACGAAAAAGACATGAACGAAAAATGAATGAAAAGATAATGAAAAATTTTTGCTTAAAAAAACCCCACAACCCAAACCACAAGCAAAGAAAACAAAAAAAAACCCCAAGAAGCTCAAGATTTCTGACAAGATACATGGGCACTGGGCACTCTGAATAAGTTTATTTTATGAGCTAATTCTAGGATAGAAGGGCACCTAACTATATGTTTGCATAAATACATATACACACACACACGTATATCATACATGTATGATGTTAGTCATAACACAGGATAGAGTAAGGGAAAAAATTTCATTAAAGTGACTTTCTACTAGATAGGAAGATAGCGCTGAAGCAGCAGCATTCATGGATGCTGTGTTGGACACCAGGTATTTCAGTTCTAAGGCTGCTGAGGGACCAGGGTGATCTGTGCAACCAATATAAAATCTGCCTCTGCTCATCTACATGTCACAAAGCTTTTTGCAGCCCAAACAGCACAGTCTCTCTTGGTTCTTTGCGCTGAAGTATTCCCAGCTGATGGCTGTCCTTTGAACCACTCTAAAGAAAAGGTAAGAGATATTCATTGAGAAATGGCAACACTGGGGGTGATCCTACTCCCCTAGAAATCTACTGGTGTTTCTAGTCCAATTTCATAGGGAGAGGGACGGGGGCTGTACATTGGTATTTCTTATTCAGTAATTTTTCATCAGTTCTACTATGTAGCTTCAATTATCCCATGTTCAACGAGGCTAAAACCTTTCATACCTTTCACTTAAAAGGGGTCTGAAACCAAGACTGCCCTGGGAATGTTCAGTCATCTTTGGAGAACCTGTGGTTCCACTGGTAAAGAAGATACTCATTGAGTCTTGCATCCTTGTTTTGATGCAGGAATGGTCAGCAGATTCGTTTCTTTAAAACAGAGAATGCATTCGTGACTTCAATAGTTACTTTACACAGGCTTCACAATGTAATGAAGTATTGCATATTGCAGAACTCCTACCCCAAATAAGCTTCACAGAAGCTTTTAATCAAATTAGACTAAAATAATGTGGAGCTACACTTCCTCAAAGACAGACTTCCCCTTAAGAAGAACAGGATAGAAACTTCCCAGAACAAAACCACTGTTAGTAAACAACTCTGATGTGGATCAGCAATCAAGCAGTCACGATTAACACATTAATGTTGGCATTTGATGAGTATTTGTAGTCAATGGATACTTATAAATGAGCATTTGTGGAGAACAGGTCTGCTTTCTGCATCACGACTGCAGTGTCACTAACTCATACTCACTTGTACAGGTCAGTAAAGTTCAGCCATCCCTCCCTACTGCTTTTGGACACGATTAGTTTGGTTTTCAGAAACTGACACTCAGATGCCACTGAGTCCACGGCAGGAGCTAGTGTGTCATCGGTAATGATGCATGTGGCCTTTGATGCCTGGAGTCGATATAATATGTCTTTGGCAGATAATTGGGATATTCCTGGAATTAAGACAATTCCTGGAAAAGTAATAAAGTTAGTTTGAGATGGCATTTCTTATATCTGATTCTTTTCTAAGAATCTAAACTATTAACTATTCCCAAACTGACCTCCGAGATAAATTTGCCCTGGCATTCCCAAGCCAAACAGTTATAGTGGAGTAATGCAGCTGCTTGTGGTTTCCTGTAAAGAATGAAATGTGGAACTGTCTGCTGACTTCCATGGCTCTTCCCTGCCTTCTGTCATCTCCATGCCTGATGCACAGGCCATCTGTCCTACGGCACCTAGTGCAAATCCTTCAGGACTGCCTGTGTAATAGGTAGCTAGGCCACTCGCTAGATTATTACATTACTTTTCCTTTATAAACCATATAAATTCTTGATCCTCTCAACCAATTTGCATTAACCAGTTTTACCAGTCTCAGATATGCTCACTGACCTGCTCGCATGCAAGCCACATTCACCAGCCACCATTCTGGGACTCGTGGCAGGATCACTACAATTCTGTCCCCCTTCTGCAGTCCACATACTGTAGTCAGCACATTGGCCACTTTCCGAGACAGGAACCCCAGCTCCTCAAAGCTCCACTTCACTTCGTCTCCTTTTCCATTTATCCACCAAAAGGCAGGGTTTGATGGTCTCTTTCCAGCCTACCAAACACAGGGATTCAAACCTGAAACATTTTCTTCTGAAAGACCATGAAATTACAATACACAAATATCTGCAAATTATGTAAGATCTGAGTATTTCACAACGGGCATATAAGCTATTATTTTTCTGTTGTCCTTAATGGATCAAGATCTGCTATAGATCAAGCTCAGATATTCCCACTAAATTCTCCTTTTTTGAACCCTTAAATGATTACCAGCCTGTCTCCAGACTCAAGTCCTAGTCTGGATTCTATCTCAGTTTAAACCTTACACTGAGCATTAATGCTCCTACAAAATAACAGATAACATGAAATACTTCACATAATACTCCTGATATTCTGGATGGAGTTGTGGAATACTACTAAACAGGAGCAGCACAACCACATGACAAAATAGAACAACAGGACAACACGGTATGCCAGGACTCTGATTACTCAGGAAGAGGGGAGTTAAGTGGTCTCTAACTACAGGGCATCTGGACAAATGCAGAATCCACTTTGGAGCAATGCAATTAAACATTTGCAGGAGAATTTGCCATATCATGCAGTGTTATTGTTATGTTACCTGTATTTTTATGATGTGAATATCTAATATTATAGTATGCAGAAGGAATAAGCACAGCCATTCGGAGGTTAAATCAAAGTCAAAAGGGACTTACCATTGCTCTTTCTACCTACACAGAGAGCACCAAGGGTCAGAGACACTTTTAAAATAAAGCAAGAAAGAACGAGACTTTGTATAATTTCCTAATGCAACTTGGTTTTGGCAACTGATTTTTTTTTGATAAAGAAAAAAAGCCAACTTATTTCAAATGAAATTTCAAATTAAAGTATCTCATCTGCACAACAAAAGATCATCTACCTTTTCAATCTCAGACCATTTGTCCAGTACATCACTTGCAAAGTTAAAGTACTTTGGTATTTCCTGTTTGCCCTGCCTGACAGACTCGTACTGTGAATATACATCGGAGGCAAGCAGCCTGGGGTGTGCATGGAAAGTCCTATTAGGAGGCTTCAGAGTCCACAAGGATTTTAGAGTCTGGAATTTAAACAACTTCATGGCAGAAGATGATGTACGTAGATGCTGTAGACTATGTAAGAAAATCAGCAGAATTGTTGCTGTGAATCCTGCAAAAACAACAACAAAAAAAGAAAATAATCTTGAGATTATCTGGAGACAATTCAGTTATGAATTGATGAGTTATTAATTGAAGTCACTTAGGCTAGTCACCGCCAAACTGATGTTTTTAACAGTTCAATTAAATGTGAAGTTCCCTATCCTGCTTTCTTATATTTTTTACCATTAGTTTTTTAAGGACTTTATGTACTGTACTGATCTGGCAACTTGACTGTAGCTCAGTTGATCCTTACAGATTCTTGATGTGTTCTTTGGGCCTGCTAATTACCCACAACTCTCTTTAGTCAAACACAACATCATATGTTCTTGTTTGCATTATAAGAAGGTTACTGGTTCTTACACCAAAGCACTCAGTAGCCGATTCTCCAATTCCTTTTCCTTCACATGGAGCTGAAGGATGTTTCCAGACTACTTCCATCAAGATTCTCCCTGCTTTATCTTGAACAGTTGCTGACTGATATATCCATTCACCACATATATCCCAAGAACCTTCACTTCAGTAATCCCTTACATAGGTCCACAAATTTGATTTAGACACTTTACATTTGCTCATTGTAAATGCCCTCTTCCATCTGTACTCACCATGATGATCCTAAAAGCTCTCAAGTCCAATTACTTTCTTCCTTTCCATTGCTACTGTTTTTTTTTCTCTCTTTTTATATTCCTGTTTTTATTATTATTTTCAGCAGTCTAGAAGATTGCTTCAGAACTGTGCTCAGCTCTAAAAAATTTGATGCTATTTAGAGGCTTCTCATAAGTGCACGTGAATATTATCAAACATGGAAAAAAAAAAAACTGGCTTGTGTCTGGAAGAGTCCACAGTCAGAGCAGGAGTCCGTGGAGTCCCGGAGGCCTATGGTGATTCTAAAACCTGGGTCCATCTATTGATTCTCCTTTTTCAACCACTAAACACAAGTTACTAAACTCAATACAAGGTTAGGTGAGTGACTGTTGAAATACAGGTTAATTTTCTTTTCTGTTCTTACAAAGGATGAAGCTATCCACAAACTAGGAAGAAAATTATCAGTAAACTCCTGATTAAATTCTTTTCCATGTGGAATTTCTGTGGCCTGAGTGAAGCTGCAAAATTTTGCCCTTTGTCCCAGGTTTTTAAGTTCGCTTTGTATTCATTTACCTATTTTCCTGTATCTTCAACCATAACTACTTATCCTTACATCTCTGATGCATGGATCTCAGTTTGGTCAAATTTTATTCCCCAAGAAAAAGTAACTTATTTACCAGTGGAATTATCTCCTTATTCCTTGGCAGGAGCTTTTACAGTAATATTTAATCTGCCTATCAGGCGAATGAACTCAAATACCTTGACTTTGCACAACTTCATCTTTTTAATGATATCTGCCAGCATAAACAAACTGGATGCAGATTTTGTACCCAGAACAGATTATTTTGTCAAAACCAACAGTAATTCATGTTGTCCTCCACGCTACATGGAGATTGTGGTAGAGAAATACCAATCAGCTGTAAATAATCCTATAGGATATCATTTGCGCCTGAGAAGGAATCATAGGACATGGATATAAAATGAAGTGTTATTATGTCCTTAAGTGCCACCCACTTCAGAATCAGGATTATAGAGCAGAAACTTGTTTAGTTGATACTTACATTTTAAATCAAAACTCTATTAACAGGATCTGGTGAAAAAAACTAATCTAAAAAGGTTTTACTGGTGAAAAACTGTCTTTTCAATATTCCCTAAATACATCCATAGAAAATGGGCATTAATAAAGGGGTTTTATGTCATATTCTGGGATATACATTCATTTTTATTGTTTTTTCTTAGTTAAGGTAACAACTGCCAGTAAAAATATCAAGATTTTCGTTAAACATAACCTTTGACGTTGTGACTCCCACTGTTAACGCTAAAAATCAATGGATCCACTTACATTCTTTTAACAGAAAAGCCTAATAATTTTGATTATTCTTTTAAATAACATAGTAAGATACTTCTCATTTCTTAGTCTGCTCTAATCCTGTGGTTTAGCTATAATCTACAGGTTTCAGAGCAATGAAATGACAAAAATCTATGCAATAGCCTGTAAAGAAAAGAGGAGAGAAAGACCATTCAGGAACAGCATTCAAGAATGGAAATGGTATTCAAGACTGGTAATATGAAAAACATTTTAAATCCAGGATTCCTTAGTGGTCTACAGAAATGTTTGCAAAGTTTTGCTGTGAAAGCCTTCAACAGTTTTTAGCACTTTTTCACCTGCAAACTTAAGAGGTGAAAATGAAGTAAGAAAATTAAGAAAAAGACCCAGTAATGGCAAAGTCCTCTGAACTGCTGCTGAAGAATCAGAAATTATTCTTCCTTATTTAGTACCATCTGCTTCTTCTCAATCATCAGCAACACTAGGAATTCAGACAAACAAATGTTTTCCTGACCTGGTTGCTGTGGACAATATAGATTGAGAGCTGGCTGGGGTAAATCCTCTAAATTCGGTTCATTCGGCTTTCAGGACGTGTTTCCCAAACGAGGCACTGTAGAGACTAGCCTTTATCTGGAGACGAGAAACCTGGACACTCTGTCAAAAAGGATTTGGAATGAAACCCTTTCTACCTCAAAAGAAGCAAATGATAAAGTAATGAGAACAGAACATAGCACAAAACAGACCAGGCAGCACAATTCTTTCTGTGGAATAACCTTTTTCTTGTAATCATTTACACCATTGTTAATTGTGCATAATTTGCACCTTAACCTAACGCACTTTGTATCTTCTCTTTTCCCCCACTTTAACTATTTAAGTAGATCACAAATTCACCAAGACGAAGAGAAGCAGTTAAAGAATATATCTTTCTCCTTCCACTCAGAAATAATTTGGGAATGTTACAGTAATAGTTTTTGAAGAAAGAGTATCACTTCACTGCTGATACCCACTACAGGACAAAGATTATTTTTATTAATTTCTCATTTATTTGTAATTATCAAAATGCTGTAGTTACATTTTTTTTAAAAAAGGAAGCTGTTTATGCTAATTCCAGTAAAAAAATTAAACCTTTGTTAGCTCCCAGATCTGTCCCTTCTCTCTCTCTCTCCCATTCCTCATTCTTAATTACTTGCACCTTCTGCTTTCTGAAAATTTGTAGGTTGATGGCAAAAGTAGTTTTAATACCACACATCCTCAAGCCATCTGAGTGTTATCTCCTTTTTTTTTTCCATAGCATGTTTCTCCATATGTTCTCTCAGTGCTCTGGGTCATGACCATTTGCCAAGTGTGATGTCCTATGGCTGGTACGGATGATGGAGATTTTATCTCTTCAGTTTCCAGATCATGTTATACTCTTCCCCACTCTTTATTCCTTAGAACCCTTCTCTGGATTTTTCCAGTAGCTGTCTTTGGTAGATCCCGAACAAACTCCACCTGAAAGGCAAAAATGCTGACTTTTAGCCAAATACATTCTGACCAATCTCCCAGGTGCAAGGAAAGACACTCTTTTATTATGGCTGGGGCAAAAAGACAGGAAGCTGCACAGCTTGGGGCTGGGATGGTGAAATTCCTTACTACATATCTTAGCTGACTGCACAGGCAGTATTTGCAGGGACAAGTACCACAATCCTGAAGAGATAAGTGCTTCAGCTGTCAGGACAGAGAGTTACTGGTGTCTTTCCCGGTTGTAAGGGATGGATTCCAACCCCTCTGATGCCAGCAGAAATTTCCCCTTTGCTTTATCTGAGAGTCTGAACAGAGCTCAAGGGAGGAACTGGTAAGAGCTGAATGCCTTGCCCATTTGAGTTGCTGTGAAAACCCTAGTATTTCACGAAAAGAAGACTGGACTCTGATAAAAGATAAGTCTCCATTTCCTCCCTTTGGGTCCTTTCTAGCACATACAGTGAATCCAAGGCTATAGCTGCAACAGACTCTGTAATTTACTTTTCTTTTGTTTTATTTAAGTATAGCCAGAGTGTTTGTCAGAATGCAGTTGAAAAGAAGCTGAGGCAGGACAAAAACTGTTCAATTTTTGATACAATTAGAAGACCTGTCTTTTTGCGGTGTACTTACCTTCCTCGGATACTTGTAAGGTGCAGTCACCTTCTTGACATGTTGCTGAAGCTCATGAGTTAATTTTTCTGGATCATGTGATACAAAAGCAGGAGCTAAAACAATGAAGGCTTTGACTACCTGTGCAAGAAAAGTTAAGGGACGCAATTAACTTCCAGAGTGGGAATAATGGGATATACTTGTTGCCAAAACTGAGTACGGAAATTCAGAATGCAAAAATTTGAGTTTTTTCTTTAATATCCTTTTTCATTGGCTGTTTATTACAGAATGCAACGTTATGAAGGACATATTCTGCAACACAGGATTTTTTGTTATTTTCCCACTTTTTTTTTTCTTCTTAACTTTATACACTACTAAACTTGCAAAAAGTTGTAGAACAGAAAAAAAGACAGTTGAAAATCTCATCCTGGAGCTCAAAAAAGAAAAATTAAACACTCTGAATATTATTGCCATCATGTGCTTAGTGACAAGAAGAGAAATAATCTGAATTCTATTTCTTGGACAAAAAGATGCCACAATAAGTCTGAAGAGACAATTTTTCCACATCAAACCCTGCAAACAGGGAAATAATTCTGAAATTCTAAGATCTGTCAAGGTATAGTTTTAAATTTTTTTAACCCATTTTAATTTCAAAAATCTGCTACATATTTAAGTCCAAGGAAGCCTAGTACATATAGGGAACTTGATGTTTAGAATATAGTGCACTTCTTTCTGTATTCTTTTTTTTTTTTTTTTACCTCTCCTCGAACTGGATCAGGACTGCTGACAACAGCTGACTCTGAGACTGCAGGGTGTTGTATTAATGCACTTTCAACTTCAAATGGGCCAATACGATACCTAGGAGAAAATGCAGATATGACAGCCATAGGAAGCTAGCCATTCAATTGGTCTTTCCAGATTGAATTTTAACAGGCAAATAAGCAAATCCAAAAGCAACTGACTTACCCAGAAGAATTAATTATATCATCAGCTCTTCCAACAAACCAGACATAGCCTTCTTCATCCATAATCCCTCTGTCCCCAGTGACATAAAAATTTCCACAGACAGAGGCAGCAGTTTTCTCTGGATTATCCTGGCAACAATCAAACATTTACAAAAATGTATTCGATTGTTAGTGAAATGCATTTACTTTGCAGTGGTGCTAAAAATGATCAAGGCAATTTTTTAAGTTGTTCTCAAAATGAGAATGTTCAATACTATTTTATGTCTTCAATTAAAAAAACCAGAGCCACATTAATTAGCAGTTTTGTGGTGGAAATACGTGAGAGGTGGAAAAAAGCATTTGTGTATCTATGAATTCATGTTCTAGGGAAAAAAGGCCATGCTCTATCAAAATGCCTATCCATCACATAAAATTACCAAAATGCATAACCCACTCTCTTCAGAGAAATGATTTATCATTGCAAGGAGTTGCCACAATAACCTCCTGTCAATGGAAACTTTTTATCCCTAACGTTCAAGACCAAAACACAAATGAGGTGACCTACAGGAAAAACTTCATTATCTACACTGATTTATCAGGTCTAGATTACACAGGAAAAACACCTTGACAACAGAAGACATAATGAAAAAATGAGGTAATAGTACTGCACCAAAAGAAGTTTTTTATCACATAGTCAGCAATTACTTTGTGCAAGTTGTTGTTTGAGGATGCTACAAATATCCAAATATTATGGGGGTTCAGAAGAGGATTAAACACATAGATAGGTTCCCCAAAGCTTATTCAACATGATAGTTCAAATGCAGTGGAGAGTATCTTTTTATTTGCCTGATTCTAGTGTTTGCTTAAGTATGTACTACAACTCAGAATGATGACAGACGCAATACTAGCTTATATGGACCTTTGACCTGAATCAAAATGGCCATTCTTCTGACACATTTTTTAAAGCCTGTTCTGCTTTCAGTGGGTAGAGCATTCCCATTCAAATAGTAATGTTAAATTACATATGCCACTATCACAAAGCCATAGCTACACTTGAAGGTTTTGTGCTGTAGCTTGTCTTTTGTGCTGTAGCTTGATCTTGTGCACATCACCTGTGTGACAGGCAACTGCACAAAGGGTTTCTCTGACACCAGAGATAGGTGCGTGCTGGAATGTGTAACTTACTTTTCAAGATTTAGAAGATCAATCTGGGTACCTCTGACAGTGGTATGAGGGAATAAGATACTTGTGCTCTCTGGAAAGCCTCCCTGAGCTTACAACATATTATAGTAGCTTTTATGGGCTTCCTTCATTAATCCTTAACCAAGGACAAGAGCGGAGTGGAAGGGAAAGGAGTGATGCATGAACATGAAGGCCATGCCAACTGTCAGATACAGGTCTGGAACAAGGTACCCCCTGGTTCATGTTGCATCTTGAAGTTATACTCTGCCAGTCAGTCTGTTCCTGGAACAGCGGAACAATGTACTGATCAGGCTCAAAGCCCTCAAGCAACCTAGTAAGACCTTGTGAAGATCCTGGAAGAAATTCTGTTCCTTGAATAAGTCAACAGAACTTTGCCCTGGGTCCCTCTTGAGCTTCTCAGCAGGCACAGGCCAACCAACTCAGACTTACCAAGTACTCAGAGAACAGACAGAATGGTCGTGTTGGTTGAACTCGGACAGCGATGTTGCCTTCTTCTCCTGCAGGCAGGATAGCCCCATGGGCATCTATGATCTGTAGAAAGCACATATCATTATTGCTTTGATTAGCGCCATAAAATAACTGTGTCCTGCACAGTGCAGGACAGAGAATGGACACAGACAGCGTTCCCTTACTCTTGTACCCACAATTGCAGCTGAGCTCAGATGTGACATATCGACATACCTGCACATCATAAGGTGGAACAGCTTTTCCCAAAGAGCCAGGTTTAATTTTCATTCCTTTCATATTGGCACATATTGTCACCTGCATAATAGATTTTTTTCTTTTAAAATTCGTGCAACATCTTGTAGACTTTATTATTGTTTGCATTAGGCACAAGACCTCTTCATGACTTTGTTGTGATGAGGGCTGAATCAGGACTAAAGTACTGTGGTTCTCAAGCACATCAGAGAGGGATTGAGAGGCATTTCAGGTCAGCCCTGTGGAATGAGGTTGGTTGTGCTCAGTCTGAGCCAGTGGGTTCTTCTGCAAACACTTGAATTTGCAAGACAGCACATGTGAAATTACTGCAGATGTGAAATTATTACAGATCTTATTTCAATAATGGGACAATTAATTTGGGACCATAACAAGGGTAAGAGGGGACAATGCCTGATATCTGACTCTTAATAGCTTCATTAATATTCACTTTACAGAGAAGTCTGGGATGTGAACTGATTTAATATTTTTCACTAAAAGCTTGGACAGGCCAAATTGATACCCATAGCAAATTATTTTTTCTAGTTTTGCCTTTTAAGTAAAGATGATGAATGGATCTTCTACAAGTTATTTGATCTGAGGTAATCTCTGGCATAGTTTTTGTGGGGGCCTGAACTCTGTAGTCATAGTATTTCCTATAAACATTAAAATATGCAGCTAATTGATTTTGGAACCATATAATCATAATTATATATAGCCTCTTTTTAAAAAATTTCATTTAAATTATTCTTATCTTTTCCATTGATTTACCAAACACATTGTGCCTTTTCTATTGTTACCTTTGAAAGGGTATATTGCAAGAATTAATGCAAACGTACTGTTTCAGTCTGGCCATAACCTTCATAGATATCCAGCCCTGTCTGGATTTTCCACTTTGCCATCACTTCAGGATTGAGTGGTTCCCCTCCAGATACACAGTGTTTCAGATTCGTGAACGTGTAGCTTGAGAGGAAGAGCAAATTAAATAATTTCCTTAACTCTGGAAAAAGAGCATTGAATGGTCTTAGCTGAAGAGCCTCCCTCAACTTGCAAAGTAAGCATGCCTAAAACTTCACAAGCTACTTTGGAAATGACAATAATCAACCTGTTACACAGTCCTGGATTGGACTGCTAGATTGCTCATCTTACCACTGAGGATAATGTGGTTTATCTCTGTGTCACTGGAAGTAAGTATTTTTTTCTGGAAAAAGACTAAGCACAGGTATTTTCTTGGAAGAGCTGACAAGAAAGGAGAAATCTGAACAAGCACATCAGATGTTCGTGGAAAGCTGAGTTACGTGCTGACATCCAAGATCAAATAAGACACTTGAGAATTTTCTAGAGCAAAAGGAAGGCTGAATAGGAACACAGAGCCTGAGCTCTCTGCTAAACCAGGCTGACTTTTGTCAGGATGAAAAACCTATGTGAGAAGAATAAGTACCTTACTAAAGATGTGAAAACTCCTTACAAATCACACTGACTATTTCTTGTAAGGTGAGTATTTTACAGTGTAAGAAACTGGTGGGAACAGTTGCCAAATAACTCTCAGCATGTGAAAGTCCTCTAACTGCTCGCTTCATTCTCAAGTATATGGGAACAACTCCACTGTACTCCATTAATTCCCTGATCCAGTGTTTGAAACCTTGACTTAAAATTAACTGTGAACCGAAGTTCAGAGGAAGTGACAACTTAAAAAAACCACTTGTTTCCTCTGTGCCATCTGTTCAAAGACCCACTCCTGAAGCCTGGATGGCCTAAGGTGTGACTAGTTATTCTCACATTTCAGAACATAGCTTTCTTTTCTGAGAGCAAATTTTGCTAATTAGATTTCCTTTAATTGAAAAAAATTAAGCAACATAAGGAACTAAAGAGGCAGAGCTGTCACAGCATTACATCTCAGCCTCTCTCTCCTACCCCTGCAATAGGCAGATGTGCAGTACCTGCTCAAATCATGTTGGACCAGCATACGGTAAGCGGTAGGAGCAGTGCAAAAGGTCGTGATGGGATATCTTGAGAGAGTCTAGAAAAACAGAAAGTTATTTTGTGGAAAAGAAAATGTAATGGTGGGTCTGACCTTATAAATGTGCAGATTAACGCAACTTAGGTACTCAAATGTCTGTAAAATGAAAACCATAAAAATGCAACACACATTCAAACAGAAAATTACTATGGATTAGTGACTACGAATCCTGACTGCAGAGTGGCTGTACCAGTCAGTTCCACTGCTGTAGGAAACATAGTACTTTCTGTCCCACAAAAATCACTCATGTAAATCAATGACCACTGAGCATAGTAGTTCCTATTAAGATTGTTTTCTGCTTTCCAAGGCGACTGTGTCCCAGGCTCAAGACTAAGTGACAACAGAGAACTAGACCAAGGCTTTTCCAATTTTATTCTTGGAAAAGTCTGGGTCTCCTCTCCACACAAAAGGCCAATGTTGAGGAGAACAGGCCAGCTGACTGTTTTTGCAAAATGGCAGAGAGGAGGAATAGGCATTCTAGCAACTCACTGAAAATTCAGGATAACAGGGTTCTGATTCAGGTCTATGCCATAGTGTGATTACTGGCCCATGCTCACCCTGAGCCTAAAGTAGCTGGAAGTCCATACCAGAAGTGAACTTTAGGCTAAATATGGGACAAGACAGCAGTGATCCTGAGTTTTTTTATCCTGCATCTTTCACCATACCTCCTCTACACTATGGCCATGTCACATGGCCTAACCAGGAGGGACAACACTTGTTCCTCTGGGCATCAAGGGGAAGGATTATTGCTTGGGATGTGGGAAATACTATTCCTGCTACTACAGAGCAGTGGGGACCCATGCACTGGAGCCCTCCTTGTTTGCTTCATTTATGCAAGATGGAAATAAAACTCACAGCATAAGATGTTATGCTTACCTCTGCAATAACTGCTGGTTTAAACTGTGGCATATTGTGTATAAAGACACATGATCCACAGATCCATGGTGCAAAAACACTGCTCCAAGCTGATTTTACCCAGCCAGTATCAGAGGTATTCCACATTATATCTGAAGGAGTCAAGTTCATCCAGTACCTGATGATAAAGCAGAGATGAAGAAAATGCTTCATGGAGTGCGAGAAATTCAGGCATAGGTCATAGTATAACTAAAGGAAAGGGCAGAAGGCTTCCATTAGAAGATGCAGTGTCATCAAGCTGGGATCTTTAGAAAGTTTGTAAGAGTTGAAGGATGTTAAACATTCTTTTATTTCCCTTCATTCCCTCCCGTTCAACATTTCCAGTATTTGCTTTTCTCCTGAACACTGCAAAATGTCCTTCGCTTGAGGTGCAGAATCTGAACTTAGATCAAAAACCAAACAGATCATTTGGAGTAGGCTTTCCCCACCTTGTGAATTAGAGACATCATCTAAATCGCATTTCTCTAGGAAACTAACCAAATTACTTCTATGGGCTCTATACCACCAACTTCCAACTCAGAATGCCTTGTAAAATGTATCCTTTGATTTTCATGAAATTTCTTACTCCTTGGGGAGCATAAATGAAATATGTGCAGGGAAAGCAAATCAGTACCAAGCTACAGATTCAAAACGAACTGTAACTTTTAAAGCATAATGCTACGGTCCAAGATTGCTTTGGTTCTCAAGAAAGGTCTACATAATACTAAAGCACTTGCTTTTATCTGATTTTGCTATAAGGACACTATCATTTTTGCTACTCCACAGTCAGCCCTCTGAGTGACAGAACACTATCTGATGATCGCAACTCAGTCTTCAAGAAGTTTTTAATAATGAGGGCTTCACTGTGAGAGGGGAAAGGTAAGGAAGAAGCAAGATCCTACACTCATGAAATCCGTACATTTACTGGAGTTTTTACAGGCACATTTTCAATTGTGATCATGTCACTTAGGATGCTGGGAGCAACTGCAAGGTATACCTGCCACTGGTCGCAAATCCGACGCCATAACTGCTGTGGGACTGCACCACCATTTTTGGAGAGCCTGTACTTCCACTAGTAAAATAGATCAGCATTGGGTCTTGGCTCCTTGTCTTGACACATTTATGGTCAGCAGATGTCACCCTTCAGAAGAAATAGTATATGACAATTCCTACATGTAGTTTTTCACAAAGGAAGCAGTATTTTTTGAGGTTTAGCAGATAAACAGGAAAATTACCCCAAACTATATGATCTCACTAAATAAATACTTGCATTAGATGCCACAGGTAAGAGTGAGAGAGCATGTTTTGCTCGTCATAAGCGTGCTGTGTATGCCATAACTTTCAAGATGCCAGCACCTACAGCATATTCCTGTGACTTTGTCTACAGCTATTTTGCAAGGCCACTCAAGGTTCTTGTTACAGAAGAGCAGGTGGATGCAAAAACAACTTCTGCCTCAACACATACAGTCTCCCAATCTGAAGTCAATGGAGGCCATATTCAGGCTATTATGCCAGGTAAAGTGGTCTTAGACACATATTATAGCATTTATGTTCAAGAGACTGATGAACAATTCAGACCGTGTGGGCTACCAAGGTAGTCAAGGGAAGAAATAACTGATGCCATGTTAGCTGAGCACTGAGAGCTAGTAATAGGTATCTTCTTATTGAATTCAAGAGGCATTAGGCTGGGCTCTAGAAGACAAGCACAAAACAACTGGAAGATTAGTACTGTGTGCTTACCTTGTGATCACAGTAGAAGCAGAGAGCTTTTAAAAGCTGGTAAGCTGCTGAGTAAGGAGAAGCTGAAAGACCTGAATAAAGCTCCCAAAAAGTGTGCTGGAGGCATTTGTACTTAATGCAGTGATTACAGTGAGTTGGCAGAGGGACACAAAAATGTAACTCATTTGTATTTTGGAAATTAATCCCAAAAATCAGCAATGTCACCTGACTGATCCAGCTTCCTTCACCTCACAGGGATGATAGTAAAACAGCTTGATACTCACGCAAAGAGTTCTTTGAGGTTCAGCCACCCATCTCTGCTCCCTTTGGCTACAATTAGTTTGCTTTTCAGAAACTGGCAGTCAGGCATGATAGATTCCACTGCAGGTGCCAGTGCATCATTGGTAATGATGCACTTGGCCTTCGAAGCCTTGAGTCGGTATAAGATGTCTTTGGCTGTTAATTGGGATGTTCCTGGAATAAAGACAATTCCTGGAAAAAAGCAACAAGCAATTTAGAAAATTGACCATTTCTCTTTATTATGTTGAGAGGACACGACCCCAGCTAAAGAAAAGCTGAGCTACTTGCCAAAAACTTACTCTTTGAGAAACAGGAGTCAAGTATAACTCACATTTGAAGGTAGAGCTTGGGTGAATTTGTGGCCTAGGAATGACCTGGGATCATCTAGTTCAAAGACCTCCAAAACCTGCAACACTGATGTTGAGTTTTGTGTCATCCATATTAAAGGTATCTAGATCAAGAGTAAGATCTAGATTTGGAGTGTTTTTGAGCACCTCCTTCATGATTCGTAACTCAGGAAGGAAATGTTATCATCCCCTTAACTATATTAATAAGGCCAGCATTTGGATTATAGTTACATCTGGAATAAAGCCATTATTAATTTCAATAAGGAATTAATACCTCTAATATGGGATAAATAGACTGAGGCCAGGTAGCTTACATACAATGCTCAGTCAACAAATCCCTCAAGCTTGGATTAATTTTGTAATGTGAACAAACCTAAGTTTGGATACTGAGTACAACGTGACTGAAATCACATTTTTTGGGGTTGGGGGGGGAAATCAATTTAGTACATTTCTATACCTCCTTTTCCCAAAGATTTCAATAGACTTGACCTACAGACTGATTTCAGTCTTCTTGCACCTTCAGAGGTGTCTACCAAATTTTACAATTGGGAAACCAAGGCACTGAGATACTGAATAATACTCCCACATCATAGTCCAGAAAATATGACTTGGATTCCCTGAGTCTTAACCCCACTTACAACCTGCAAGAATCGCAGAGGTTAAAAGTAGAACAAAAATACTTGATCATGTCCCTGCTGATGCTGAATTGTTCTATCATGGATGTTTAGGAGTCTAAAAATGGAATGGGTCAAATTCTTCCTAAGAATTTGCAAAACTGTAACAGCAGAACAAAGAAACATTGTATTGAATTATTAACCAGTTTAGTCATATAACTTACTGCATTAAAACTGTCCACACTGATAATGTATCTGGTCAAATCTGGCCTTAGATTGTAACCACTCAACTTTCATTGGCTTCAACTGAGGATGCCATTTAACGGGACCATGTCTGTTCAGCACCTAGTACAATGTCGCTTTGGTTCCTGTGTGGGTGCTGCCAATTCTCCTTCTGTGCGAAAGCTGAATTGTACAGGGCACAGCAGCATATTCCTGCATACATTTTTTTCAAATTAATTTAGCATATTTGTCATATCTTCTATTTATTTTCTTTCTGCATCCAAGAGATCAGTACGGTCACTCACCTGTTCGCATACAGGCTACATTCAGTAGCCACCATTCAGGAACACGAGGCAGAACTGCTATAACTCTGTCTCCTCTCTGCAAACCACATGCCTCAGAAAGTATATTAGCTGCTTTTCTAGACAGAAATCCCAGCTCTTCAAAGCTCCACTTCACCTCCTCTCCCTCATCATTTACCCACCAAAAAGCTGGATTTGCTGGTCGTCTTCCATCCTAGAATGCAACAGGAGATATTAAAATATGAAGACAAACCTTAAAAGGTTTCATTTTGATCAAAAATAACTCCAGACTGAGAAAATCATCCCTGGCAACTAGTCTCTTAAAGTGCTACTTTCTTACAAAGAAAATAAAACAGTGTGTTCTACTCTGCAGCTAACACTATCCAGTATCCATCAGGAAAATTAATTTGTATTATCTGAGATTTGTTCCAATGTCTATGAAGTAAAAGAAAAATAATACCTTTTCCAGTCGTGACCACTCATCTAAGACATCACTTGCAAAGTTGAAATATTCTGGCAGTTCCTTTTCACACTGGTTTATAGAGTCATAATATGAAATAATCTGAGATGTAAGAAGTCTGTTGCATCCATGGAATAATCTGCAAGGTGACCTGAGCATTCGCAAACACTGAGGAATCCATGATTTAACAAATGATAAATGATGTTTTATCAGATAGTGGGGAAAAAAATCAGATGCACACCTACAGGAATGAGTCATCTGAAATGAAAAAAAAAAATGTTTAAAAACAGCCAGGTATTGAACACTGTCTAGTTTGTGATGTTGGATAAATTAATGCAAACCAGCCTGAATAAACAGGTGGTTTGCACACCTCCTCTTTTCCCCCATTATTTTATGTGATTCTTAAAATAAAGCATTCCTCCTTTGCTGGCAAAGAGATTGTGCACTGTTTTTTCATTATAATCTTTGTCCTCTACTTTGTCAGGGGATGAATGAATCTCATATCTCATCTCTAAACTTTCACTTGCCAGTCCTTTTCTAAATATCTATCTCTTGATTCTCGTAAATTTTATATTTTTACTTTGCCTGCTTACAGAAATAAAATGCTACTAGTTAGAAAGTCTTTTGAGGACACGTTTATCACCTTGATTTAAAACGGTCTTTGTAATTATGCTATGTCTTAAATATACACTAGATGGCAATTCACCCTGAACTTAGGCACCAATAAAACTGATGAATCTCTGATTTATTTCCTTGTGAGTTCTATTTTCATTGGCGACATGGAATAAACACAAAATAAACAGTAGACAAGTGAAGGTGAAATTCCAAAGACTTCCATTTGCTTTGTACTCCAGCTGAAGTGTGCAACTTTGAAAAATATACATATCGTAAAACAAACTTGCAAAGAAAATTCCAGCACTTCCAGTTTCTCCTGGTCTTTCCTACACAACATATAGGTACATGTGGAAGAGACAGAATGGCTGATACTGCTGTTATTTAAAGCCCAGCCTCGGAAGTCAAGAAAACTGAATCTTTACCCATAGATGCAGAATCTTCTGATAAACTTGTTTTGAGTGTAATCAAGTCCTTAGGAATCCACCAACCACATTAAATCTAAGGGATCTTTCTGTGCCATGTCCTTCTCATTTAATAGCCAACAGTGCATACTTATGTCACAGGGATACTACACAGTTACTTTCACCTTTGCATTATGCATTGCAAGTGTAGCTGTAGTGACAGCTTAAAGTGTTCAATGCCAATAAATAACAGTAACTGACATCACTCCAAAAATCACTGTGTTTGAGGCAAAACAGAAATACAAACAGAAGGTGTGCACATGTGAGGTATATGTCAATGGTTCTGGATGACACAACAATTTCCAGGATGCGAGTAGTAACAAAGCAGAAGGTCCAAGAATTTTATTTAACCTGCATCCAATGTTTCCTTGCATCCAATGTTCCCTGCTGACTAGCCTATGACTTCTGCAGAAGGCAGATTTTCCATAGCTCTCAAACTGTAAAGCACAAAATGAAGAGCCAGAACTAGCTAGCACCAGAAGAAATGTGCAGAAACGTGACCTAATCTGCTGTGTGCCTAAAAGAAAACATTTTACTCCACCAGTTTCAATTTTCTATTCCGTTCCACTAAATTTCACTCCTCTCCTCATTGCAAATCTGTCCTGGCAGGACTGACTGCTGTATGATCCTCCTCTTACTGCAGTTTCCTTCCAGGATACAAAGGTTAAAAGCCCTTTCCAAAATGGTGCCTATTTCCTAGTAGGAGGTTTCCAGAAGGGATTTGAGTTCACTGCAATTTGTTTCACTGGCAGCCAGGGGAAAACAAGCTCTCTCTAAGCAAATGGTTTTGTCATCCTACCTGTGCTCTGAGAGCCTTAGGCTGTGTTCTCAGCTTACAACATGGCCTGTTCAGATCAAACAGGCATTGTTAGTTTTCCCCTGTAGTTCTGAAAGATGCTTTTTAACCCTCCTAGGATGTTACTTGAAAGACACCTTTGGAAAAGAGCCTGTTACGAAGAGAAAAAGACCATGAAGTCAAACAGGAGACAATCTTTCTGCTTTTTTTTTTTACTTTAGTACCTGATTGCTGCATCTGTATTTATGTGTGATCTTATCTTGCAAGCAGCCTGAATACACAGCTCCCTCTGACTTCATTAGATACCCTGTACGAGTGCTAATAGAACACATCTCAAGGTGCATTACAACCCAAACCTTTGAGATTGATAGGAAAGAGTTCACTTGCAACCCAGCCCCACTCACACCAGGCATGAAAACAACCTAAATCGAAGCAATATGCCACCCAAGATCCTTCACCCTCAAAAAATAAGAGGCTACCACATCAACCATCATTATGAACGTTCCTTCTTTTAGCAGCGCCCTCCTGATACCAGATTTTTCATCCTTTAGTCTTAAGAGCATGAAGGAGCAAAGCAGCACTTACCGCTCCTCAAGAGGAAGGAAGAGTCATTATTGAACGCAATTTCTTCAGCTATCAGTTTGGTTCTACTAGTTTGGATTCACCTGCCCTCAAGTCAGCTCTGTCCTTGTCTGTGCCAACAAAACAACCACCAGAATACCTAGTCCCCTCTAGAGAGGCTACACACCTTTGGGGGTACAGTTCATAAATTTCAGCACAGTTTAAGGGTGAAAGAAGTTTCTGCTACAATTACAGACTGGCAAATATTTACAGAAATAAGCATTTCTTAGTAAACGGTTCTTAATCTTTTCCTAAGATATTTCTTAAAATGTTCTAAAAAGACTAGTGAGGGACGCATCATAGTTCACAGACACAGTTGATAGCTATCCTAAGGATGAAATAGTACATTTGGTCCCTCCAGTTTACTGTACAGATATTTAGCTGCATGAAATTGTGCTACCACTGAAAACCAATGAAAGTCTTCTTTTTTAATCCACAAAGTAGTATCTAATTGAGCTACAGCTTAGCACTTAAGCAGAGATGGGTGCCTCACAGACAAGGCACTGAAGAAACACAGACATTAAAATTACATATGCAAAGCAATGAGAGTTTTTCCCTGACTTCAGCATGCTCTGAATCAGATCCATAATAAGTAGCTCCCTAAGTGCAACAGACCACCAAATATCAAGCAGCAGAGCAGCCCTCAAATACTGTCCCAGGTACCTCACTTACTGTTTTGTCTGCAGCTCTGCACTGGGTAAGGGCGATAAGAGCAGGCTGCCTAATTAGAGAAGTGCACTATGAATAGACTGGTGCTTCTGCAGGCAAGTGTTTCCCCCTATGCTCTCTCACCCTCTCCCCAGGGTTCTGATTATTCACAGAAACAGTAAACCCACCTTCCCTACAGATACTTTTTTTTTTTTTTTTCAAACACTGCTAAAGATGGGGAAGTAATTTAACTATATCAATCTTCCATGGAAAGGTGCAGTTGGCTCCACTGATGGTACACTCCATTATCAACCTTATCAGCCTCTTAGTTTCGCTGATACAACAGCAGCCATTTGAGCAGCAAATCCCGCTGCTTAGTGCTCTTTTGCTTCTTTCTTTCTCAGTAACTGGACAAAGGCAGGACAAGATGAAGACACACCAGTTTTTCCTTCTGCCATTATTGCTTCTCACAGGCTTCCTGGCAGCAGACAACATAAGCCCGAATGAAACAAAGCCAAAGAAAGCCAAACTCCCCAAAATAAAAATGGAGAAGGCTGTACTCTTGCTGAGAGTTTGTAGTGTAGCTACAAACTGCTTTGTAGTCAAAGCAACTTTGACAGAGTATTGAAGGAAACTAAGTAACTGCTGAAGGAGTTCTGTGAGTATCAATTTCCGCTGTCTCTTACCCTGATGGTTCTGCAGAGCATGATTGATGCACTCGGGTATGCTTGTTTTACTGTTGCTTGGTCCTCCAGTAGTCCTTTCTCCACATATGTATTTCTGACCATAACTACAGTAATTTATTCCTTTTTGAGGTGGTTAAATACCAGTCTACTACATAAGACAGATACTATGAGTAAGATGGGTTCTCATACACAGTGCTGAGTTGGCATTCTCTGCTTCCACTGCCTAATTTTGCAATTATGTGTTTCACAGCAGTGATGGGTGAAACTCTAGGTATTTAAACAGACAAACAAAAAGGGCTTTTCTCCCTCTTACATTTTCATCAGTGCTTTGTATGAGGTTTTTGCTGGATGGCATCTCTCTGTGAGTGTCTAGGCTTCAGGGAACGTCTTTTTACAATATTTTGGCATCTGTAATTGCATTATATTGGACTCTTTCCCTGAAATTAGCACTTGATTAGGTGGAGGCCAGATTGTGGTTTTTCTGTTAGGTTCATGTCCATTCCTCATGGGGAGGAAACTAGAGGTAGCTTTTGAGTAGCTAACTTTGTTAGAAGGTCTGGCCATCTGAGCCCTACAGAAAATAAATCACAAAAACAAAAGCCAAAAGGTATACTCTTGTGATGTTATCCATCTAAAAGTTCAGATGCCACATAATTTCCTACTCCACAACCATGGAGCTGTATTTCTTAGCACCTTGCTGGTAGCAGAAACTCTTCAATCTGCATAAGACAGCAAAAGCTTTGTGTCTGTTGCATGGGTTTGACCTTACTTCACTGTGCCATACTCACTGAGCTCAGTGCACACACCCACTTAGCCTTAAATTATACAAACACCTTGCAAACTAGCACTCCTTTGGAGGCAGGCATTAGAGACAGGCACAAGCTGAAAATCTCAATCTATTCCATATTTGGAAGAGATATTTGAAATTAAGGCAATATCCTAACTTTGCAGAACTGCATGTAAGTTGTTCTTTTGCATCATTACCAAACATGGATGATTATGATGATGATAATAATAACAACAAGAAATAGTAGTAGTAGTGCTGTAAGTCAATCTGTAATGAAAACACTTGTATTTTTCCAACAACAAAACCTAAAATACACTAACAGATTAATGAAACTAAAAATGTTTGGATCATACCAAACACTTCATTAATCCTGAAACAATGTTATGAAACTTCAAATATTTTTAAAACTTTCAGAACAATCACGTTAGAAATTTCTTTAAAACTTAATGTTTAAGACTTTTAAACACTTTTGAAAGTGTTGAAATTTAGCAAGATTTTATTTTTTAATTGGGGAGGGTCAGGGTCTAAAGCTATTTGCCAAATACAGTCTGCAGTGGTCAACTGTTTTGATCTCTCTGAAGATGCATTATTTTGGTGAAAAAAAAATTATCAGAAAAACCTTAGTCAAGCTCTGTTCTCAGCTTTGTAATATTCGAAGCACAGAACCTAAACGCCCAGGTCAGAGAAGAGTTTGCAGCCAGACCTCCTCAGTACTGGCAGAGTTCATCAACAATGAGATACTGCAACACACTTCAGGATTTCAACCAAATACTGAATGGAAAGAAGACATATGAAAGGTTTCATAAAGAGATAAGAGATTAAGAAAGAATTGTTCAGAATACAGTAGCACAGGGACTTGGGTACTCAAAGGATGTGGGAGATCTAAATCAGGATTTCTTCCCCCTACTTCAGAGCAGAGTCTTGGACCTCTTTCTCTGATATCTCCACCACCCTCACAACTCACTTTCTTCAGAAGGGAAGGACAAACACAATCTTCCATTCCATCTTCCAAAAAAGTCAGAGATGAAACACTGCTCCCCAACCATACATTGCTCCAGTGATCCTCACTGCCTTCTGGTTTGGATTCAAGGCCACCATGTCTATCTGAAGGGCTTACTGAAAACTCATAGATTGGCTTTCCCCTACAAACCATAAAGGTATCTACAGTCCCTGCAAAGAATTATGGCATCACTCATGAGAGTGACAAGCTCCACAGCCCAGACACACTATCTAGAAATCACTGGCCTCAATCTCAATAGCTCCCTTTAGAGACAGGCCACTAAACAGTCTCTGGGGCAACGAAAAACTATCCTGCAGTGAAGCACTGCCCTGGGATGTAGGAAACCCCAGTCCACAATGCTGAACCAGTGGTACATCATTTGCTGTAATCATTTGCATTGCCACAGCAGAGAGAGACTAAGGATGGGACATGCACATGCACAGAGAAGGCACAAAGCCCTAGTACATTATGTCCTACTCCTTAAAACAGGCTATCTAAATAAACAATGTATGTGAACATGGAACTATTAAGGGAACTTAGATAATGAGAGACAAAGCAATATTCCCCCTGATCACACAGGAAATTTGTGCGGCTGCCAGGAATTAGCTTCCGAAATCCAGAACGAATGCAAGACCTGAGACCTTTTTCTTCTCGACCCATTCTCAATCACAGAGACACCGTCACAGAATGGGAAGGAATCCCCCACTTCCCATAAACTGCGATTTGTTCTGGTGCTGTACCAACACAGGGAAAAGTCTGAGCTCCAAACTTTGATTCAACACTCTCGGATCTGCCTTAGGCCTATCCATTACGAGAAAACCTGAATGCTTTCCCTGTTGTATAGCATTATCTACTTACCAGTCCCATAATAATTTTATCAGAAGAGACCTGCTTTGATGTCTTCTGCCCAGAGACTCCCAAATCCTCCTAATGCCCTTCAGTGCCACTCTCACAGTGCCTCAGGTCTGCCTTCTTTGAGGCAAGGTTTACTATAGAAACATACGCTGACTTTCTGCCAAGCAGTATCAGGCTACCCTCAGGAGCTGGGCAAAGTACACAGGGCAAGTACCCAGCATGGAAACAAACTGATGACCCAGAAATCCGACACTCTTCTGCCCTCATCCTAGCTGTGTTTCGCAATAAGAAGGTAGCTGAAGGGGGAGCATAAAGAGAGTGAGGAAGGACACAGGAACAGAGGTTCCAGCTTCTCTTTGGTTTTTGGGAAGGCACAGAGAACAATGTCTGAAAACAATGCAAATAAACTCTCTCGTGGATGCAAGCCCTTCTGCCTGCCCAGCTGAGTTATGTGCCCTGCATGTGCTAGGAGCACCTAATCTCAATGCTCAATTTAAAGTACTCTTCTGCTGCAGTTTGTGGCATCTCCCCATCCATATTTAACTGATCTAAATATCACATAAATGCCTGTTAGCACGGGGAATACAGAGCACTTGCTGTGAGCAGAAGGTAGCTCTTAAACCAGTGTTGCTCGCATGGGAGAGTTTTACTGTTTATACTATACATTAGTGCAATGTAAGTCCTTGTGTTGACTTCCATTGCAGAATATTGTTGCTTTAAAAAAACAAAACCAAAAACTCCCAAGCACTCTAACAAATAACCTCATCACAGGGAGAATAAACTGTACACATATAAACACAAACACTAAAAGCATTGCTGCACATCACTGCAAACTATAACCAGTTGAAGTCATGTACTAACTTACTCTAGTTTTCCCAGGGACAGCAACTGTCCGAACACAGTAAAGCGCATCTCTATTTCATTTCTCTTCAAAAGTCTTTCATAAATATTTCCAATTTTCTGTCATCAGAATGGTTTTCACAGGACTTAGCAACTGTCCCATACTTCTCCGTGCAAGAATAGTCCTCAGATCCCCCAAACAGTGCAGTGGATACCATTCATGTTTAAGGCTTTCCCAGGCCAGAGAGGCAGAAATAGTCCACAATACGCTCCAGCCCAGGGGTATAATAATAGTGTATTAGCCCACATCAGCAACTGACCATACTGTGACTGAGAGGAGACATGTTAAATGTACCCAAATACACCGTTTCTGCAGAGAAGCAGGTATTAAACTGTTCTTAATTTTCACTGGCAATATAATGAGTTTAAACACAGCAGACGTCATAGGCAGGGATAAAGATGACCATTTACCTGGAAGGCTAATGATGCACTGGAGGATCATGCCTAGGGTGGCTCTGGTTATCTCCATTCGTGGCAATATTTAAAGCCAGATTAGTCAAACAGCTGTCAAGATTGGTTTACATATGGTTTAACTGGCCTTAGACCAGACCAACGACCTCTCCAAGTCCCTTACAGCTCTAGTTCTGTAAGCTTTTAACTTGGCTAGTGGCATATTTTGGGAAATACAAAATGGGTGCAAAGCACATGCTGACGCCACTTTCTCCTGTCTATCAGAAGAATTCAGGAAAAAGCCCAGACCCCAGTGAATGTTTGATTCCCCAGATGTCTGAGAATGCCTGCTCCTGTCCTTTCCAGTGAAAAGTTTTCAGTTCCTAGATAAACATGGGGATAACATAAGGACAAGCACCTTGCACTGCTGCTTTGTGTGCTAAGTGCACTCTCATTTATGAAAAAGTGATGTTTACCTTTTCCAGCCAAACATTTGCATAATCAGTGAGGCACCGGGTCAGCCATAGGATTCCTGCAGCCTGCGACTGAATCTATGCTGAGATAATGACATTTAATAGGCAAGATGAGGGCTACTCTTAAAGACAAACATCTCCTTTTCAAGGCACAAAAGCTGACGGTGATGTTATTGGAAAAAAAAAAACAACACACCAAGAAAATGCTGCCTATGTATATATATAGTTCATAGAAAGGGGGAATTTCTAGAAAGCGGGGGGGGGGGCATGACTGATCTTAAATCAATTATATAGATCAGATGGTCAGCTCAGTTATAAAGCCAACATCCAAAGTATACTCACTCCTGTGCTAAGAATTGATTTCAGCATACAGCTGTCTCCTCGCCACAGGAGGTGAAGGCAAACAGTTCAAACCCATCCAGAATAGGTATTTCTTACAACTAAGCTTCCTACAGGATCCTAGTGTGGTGTGAAAGATAGTGCAACATGCATACCTCATTCCTGAAGGCTTCATCAGAAATCTGTGTCAATCTTTTATGAGTAAATCTTCTGAAAAGAGTCATTTAAACTG